TCCCTGTTCAAGATCATTTCTAGACTGCCTTAAGGAGATATAAGTGGATTGTTCCAGCACTGCTTTATGATGAATCTGCTTAATTTTATTCAGTTTCTGTATGGCCATAATTCTTTCTTCTTCCTTTAAACCATTTTTTTCTCTCAACCACTTATCAGGGTCAAAACCTGAGTTCCATATGTCCTTGTTCTTTTTCTTTCACTTATACCATATTCTATCAAGCACCAATGATGTATCCAGTTTCCAGTCTAAGTAACTCTCACATCTACCTGTTCCCATTCCCACCAACCTGGTTTAAAATACAAAGCAAATCAGACCGTTTGTCTACTTTGAGTCTATAGGTGGCCCCTCTGGCCCTCAGGGTGTGCTCCAAATATGCAATGTGGATGTAAGGTCTGGTTAGGGAGACAGAAATTACTGGGTGGTATTCCATAATAGAAGACATTTAATTCAAGGAATTAGATGCTTACAAAAAGCATTAGACATTGTCAGGCTTCTGTCTGCTGCAGTGTAGAGAAAAGTACAGAAGTGGGGAAGGTGCTGAATGAATGGTCTTCAGATAATCCAGGTCTGTAAAGCCATGTATGGTCTACCCCACTGCCTTTCTCCAGTTCCAGCGTGCCCCCTGTTTTGCTCCCCACACTTTAACTTCACTCTACCTGACTAGATTCCTAACTCTACACATATTCCTAACCCAATTTTAAAAATGAAAATAAAATGACTAACATGTATTATCTCTCTGTATCAGGAATTTGGGAGTGGCTTGGTTGGTTGGTTCTGGTCCAGGGTCTTAAGAAGCTACTGGGGATGTGGCTCAAGGCCCTGGGTTCCATGCTCAGCAGCACCAAAAAAAAAAAAAAAAACAAAAAAAAAACAAGATGTCATCCAGGAATGCAGTCATGTGAAGGCTCACCTGGGGCTGGAGGATCCAATGCTAAGATGACTTGGCAGGAGGCCTCACTTCCTTGCTAAGTAGACCCCTTGTTAGGACTGAGTGGATTTCCTTACAGTATATCAGCTGACTTCGCCCAGAATAACCAGTATATGAGAGAAAAATACCAAGGGATAGCATATTAGAGTGCTTTAAATCCCCCTTTCTGGGACCATGTTGTGTAGTGTCTCTGGCCAGGTTCATTAAAGGCAAAAAAGTCAAGGGGAAAAAACCAAGGAATAATGGAGTCTCAGATAAAGGCTGACCTTGGCCTGATCCATATAGGGAGTAATCTGGTATATAAATTACATCACAGAATTATCCTTCTTTGAGATAGAGGACTGCCCTTTTATATCCTTCTACATACACATCAGTTATTGTCCGTGGCCTGCTGGGGGAAGGGTTGGGAGGTAGGCTTCCATCAGTTGACAATTTTTCTCTAGAGAAAAGAGCAGCTGTGAGTCATTAGTAGCCAAACCTCAGAACAGCTGGGGGATGGATGTGTCAGCCAGGTAAAGGTGATCTGAGTGGGAGCACTATAGCACCTTTGACTGCTGGCTTCTTCCTGTTTAATTCTGAAGTATTTACCAAGGAACCTGACTGTAATTGAATAAAAATGAATGAACAGAAGTGCTTAGCTTCTCTGGGCCTGTATTCATTTCTGGGAAGCCAACTGAGCAGGCCATGTTGTTCCATCATCCATGGAAACAGGCAAAACCACAGGCCAGACAATTCTCTGCATCCTAAGCGGCAGTACCTTGTTCTACCATGTGACCTATCCAGGCCTTTTTTTTTTGGCAAAATTGGAATGAAAATAGCTTGTCATTTGCAGTTGGAAAGTACTAGAATTGATGTGTGAGAGTGTGTGTATCTGTATATCTCTATATCAATATCTGTATCTGTATCCCAGGTCCTTGCATATAATTTCAGAAAGGTACTTTTGTAAATGAAAAAAAAATCAGATTGGGGCTGTGGCTCAGAGGTGGAGTGCTTGCCTAGCATGTGTGAGGCACTGGGTTTGAGCCTCACCAGCACATAAAAATAAATAAATAAAATAAAGCTTAAAAAAACTCAGACACATCTTACCATTGCTTCCTCATTCTTCCCAGCTCCTATCTGATTGTTGCTTGTGTTTTTAGAGATGTTTAAGGGAAAAGGTAGCATCAACAAAGACACTCTACACCTTTTCTGTGTTCAGAATTTTCATTTCTGTTGAGAACAAGGTCACTTTATCGCCTCCTTCATTATTTTCACAAGAAGGAGACTTCACTTACCTATGCGGGGAAGGGAGTTGTAGAACACACATTTCTCTGTCTGCCTGAGGAGAAGTGACCAATAGAAAGGCAGAGTGCCGGGGTCTGTCACTCCTCCTCTCTGCCTGCCTGGTGAGATATGTCACTACACACCTGTGGTCCCTGCAGGGGGCTGCATGCATAGACTTGGAGCCAGAACAGATACCTTCAAAGTAAGAGATTTGTGGGTGGAAGGAAGGAAGGGGCCTCAGGTTCAAGTTGCATTCTTTACCACAGTTCATTGGAATCTCTGTACTCAAGCAGTTATTGGGCCCTCACTCAGCTATTAATTAAGTTGATGTTTGAGTCACAGATCTTGGAGTATGACTCCATTTGTCACAACCCACAAGGAAAGTGAAGAGAGTGCTGCATTCTCTGTACTCCTGACAATGAAAGATCCTGGGGAAGCTTTGGTTGGGTGTTTCCCAGGCACTTCAAACTCTCTATGACTCAAAGTGGGCTCCCCTTACTGCTGCTTGTCCTGTGCTTCCTGTCTTGGAAATCCGCCTCAGTATTCTTGTGGTGACCCAGGCTGACATCATGAGTCTCAGAGCATATAAGCCCTTTGTGAATTTTTGGAGCCTCCATTTTTACCGTCTCCAAACATTGCTCCTGTAACTGGCTGTGTCCTGCGTGCCACTAAGGCCTCAGCTGACTCTTTGCTGCCTGAGTCTTTTTTATTTGGGGTGGGGGGTGGTATTGGGAATTGAACTCAGGGTTACTCAACCACTGAGCCCCATCCCCAGCCCTATTTTGTATTTTATTAGAGATAGGGTCTCACTGAGAGTTGCTTAGGACCTCGCTTTTGCTGAGACTGCTTTGAAATCACCATCCTCCTGCCTCAGCCTCCCAAACTGATAGCATGACAGGCGTGCGGCACCGTGCCCAGCTGCTGCCTTAATCTTTGCTGCTGTACATGGCTGTGTGCTTCTGTAGTCCCCACACTGCTTCCCACCATAGTTTCCTAAAGCATGATTGCTTGGCCATTTCTTCGTCTCTCCCCTAGACATACACTCATACACTGCTGGTGGGGCTGCAAATTGATGCAGCCAATGTGGAAAGCAGTATGGAGATTTCTTGGAAAACTGAGAATGGAACTACCATTTAACCCAGCTATCCCTCTCCAGACTGCTTATAAGCAGGGTCTGTACGTTGTTCATCCTGGATAACAGCACAGGGCCCACCTGCAGTAGCAAAAATAAACATTGCCTTGAATGAATAACTCTTTGGCTTAAGGGTGCCTGAGGCTACATAGCATTGTGGTTATAAGCCTAACTTTGGAACTCAAGGCCTGGATTTAGATCTTGCTATTTGTGTGATCTTAGGTGAGTTCCTTAACTTCATGATCTTCAATTTCTTCACCAAAAGTTTGGGAATAATGATACTTCCTAGGGCTATGGTGAGGGAATGCAGTAAATAATCATGCAAAGCACTTTGAGCAATGTGTGACATATAGCTCATATTCAGTGTGTCATAGTATCTGATAATAGTTACAGCAAAAATAATAAAACAGTTATCATTGAAGGAAGGGAGAAGGCTGTAAAAAAGTACTTGGAACTAGAAATCAGGTATGTTGAATGCCTGCATAATGGGTTTAGAAGAGATGGAGTGTTTGGGATAAAAGATAGAAGCAGATGGGATTACTGTAAGGAAGAATGAATAGGGAGAGAAAAATGGGACAGGGGAACTGAAGACAGAAAGTTGAGAAACCCTATATTTGAAGGATAAGAAAAGACAAAAAAAAATGATTACAAGTAGGAGATTGCAGCTTCTCAGATGCCAAGGACAGGAGTTTGAAAAAAAAAAAAGCAGTCAAGGGTGCCATGTTGGGTGGAAGGGGAATGAGAAGATTAGAAAATAATCTACTAAATGAGAGAATGTTAGTTCCCTGGGAACCAACCCTTTCAGTAGAGTCAGAGGAAGAAACCTTGCTCTCTGAGTGGTTAGAGAAGGCTGGATTAGAGCACATCAAGGCAGTTGGTTGTGCTGTAGCATGTATGAATTAATTTGTGGGTAAATGGAGGACTGTCAGTGAAATGTGGAAGTCATTTATTTTGCAAGTGGGTTTTTTTTCCTCAGCATGTTAACATTTTGCACCATTGGCTGAAAGCAAAGTACTCTAACATAGCTGAAGGAAGCAAGTCTCTGGGAAATAGGGGGCCACACGTGACACCCAGTTACCCTGTGTTCTGGCATTCTTTGCCAATCTTTGTACATTTTAGTCATTGATTCTATACCACTTAGCAGCCTCAACAATCTGATGAGTCCTTCTACCACAAGCCTCCTTCTTTTTTAAATGTAAAGAGCCAAATTTACTAGAGTGTTTCTTTATTAGGTATTTAACATTTTTTAAAAAATTGCAGTGTGTTTTAAATGATAATGATTGTTTTTCTTAGCACTCCAGTTAAGATCTTAAGGTCTTTCCCCCCATAGACCCCATTATTTTTAGAATTTGATTTTGTAAAGTGTTAGTTTTTAAGCAATATGTATGTCAGTTGTAGTAGAAACTCCCATGATTCTTTTTCCTAAGGTTGAATAATATGAGGAGGAGAGGTAGAAGGGAATAGCAAGGTCTGTGAGGAGTTTCCCCCGAGGCTGACCAGACTCAACCATGCTTGGCTGCAACTTGGTCAAAATTAGTTTTCCCTGAGTGACCATTTTCCTGAATACTCTGTTATATATTTAGGTGTTATGTATTTTGGTTAAGATCAAATGTAGTATACATTTAGGTGGTTGTATCTTTGCATTTATATCATCACTGTGATCTCTTGCTACAGTCTGAACAAGTATCCGAGACTGAGGTACTCCCGCAGATGAACAGAGCCCCTTCCCAGGCTGCAGAAGGTAGTCCAGCAAAGAAGGTAAGGGCAGCATGAGGATGCCATTGTGGTGGCATTCTGAGGACCTCTCCTGGGCTCCTTGCCTCTGTTATCAGATCTACTGCTTTAAAGTTTCCATGTTCTGAAAGGAATGGGAACAATCCGCTTTTCGGAAAATGTGTGTTCTTTGTGAAGATAAGGATCTTGAAACTTTCTGAACTTGACCCTTGATATTATTGAGAGTTCATACTCCCCTCCTCAACTTCCCAGCTAAAGATGGTGGCCTTGCTTTTGGCAAATCAAATGATGTGGGGAGGAATATATGCATTTAGTGAAACCCCACACACCTGATAAGCCTAAATGAACATTTTTTGGGGGTGGAATACTCTCCCCTTCTTGGCCTTTGTACAATGATTTCGTCTTGCATTCCACTATCTTTACTTCCGCCCAGCCACGCCATTGAGTTCCCTTTCATTTGCTCAGTTAGTACCATCTACTTATCATGCTTGTTCCCTACTTTTCTTCTTATCCTCTTCTTGTTATTCCCCATTTTCTTCCAGGCCCTTCTCCCAGTAAAGAGAATGGGCCTTGGGCTTGGGAGCACAGATGATGCAGGGTCCTCCAAGGAAGCAGACCAGCTGTCTCCTTCCAGAACACAGTGTAGCTTCTTTGTTTGACTTTTTGTGGACATCAGGAGGAAGAAAATTATAAGCACATGACTAAGACCTTTACAAACTTCAAAATTTTTGTTACAAAAGGTGCCAAAGTAAGACAGAGCCAATTTTGTCTTCAGTTGGAAAAAAAACAAAACAAAACTATGTTAGATGCACAGGGTCTACGTGAGTTTAATTCACAAAAAGTAATAGATCGCTTACAAGGGAAGGCCAGTAGAATCTGATTCGTGTGTTCTTCCAGATGACAAAAAGAGGCAATAGACTGTAAGCATTTAAAAGAAAAAGAGACAAAGGAAGGCAGGCAGGAAGGCTGGCTACCTGCTGGAATCTGATGCCTGTATCTTTCCCGTTCTTGCCTAGCTAGGAGTCAGCCACTTATCCTTGGGTATGAAGTTTGAATAGAGCAATCTTCTGATCTTGGGGACAAAGCTAGCATGATGGTGGTGGTGGGGGGATTTGTTTTTCACTTTGTAGTTTTTCGTTTTGTTTTTAATCCACAGGATATATCATATTCTCAGGCTCCATCAAAGCCCATTCGTAGGAAATTCAGACCTGAAAATCAATCTACGGAAAACCAAGAGCCTTCTACTGCTGCAGGTGGGCCAACTTCTGTAGCAACTGTGAAACCCCATCCAACGGTCCAAAAGTAAGTAGAACTGATGAGAACAAGATGAGACTCTCTTTTATGTGTGTGTGAGTGTAAACTCACATCCGTGGAATAGTCTTATGATTGTCTTATTCACCTCTATGATAGGATTGAGGTCTCCCAGTCACATAGAAGGCTTTTAAACTATAGAATTTTAACCTGACCCTATAGAATTTAAGGGGCAACTGAGTCCTAGGCTGTGGTGGTTTGGTTGGGTTTCCTGCCCTTTGTCTCTTCTTGCCTTCCTACTGTTCTTTATTGTGCTGACGTAGATTTTCCTAGGAAGAAGACAGTACTATGGGCAGTTTTCCCACTTTTCCTGTCTTATCTCATTCTTTCCAGGCATATGGCTAGCTCCATGACCACACATCTTTCAATAGAAGTGGTACGTGGTTTTTAAAAATCCCCATAAAGAGTTCTTGTCATCAGTCATCTCAGCTCTGAATGGGCACAGTTAGAACATCTATAATATTTATCTCACCAGCTGAAACTGATATTGGAGAGAGCATGGGGACATTTGTGGACATGGCCAGAGACTTGAGACAACAAAATTATGGACAAATCATTTGGCTTTGGGAAGAGCCTTCACTTGCCTCATTTTTTTATTGTAACATTCTGTGAGGTGTCAAGGGCAGAAACCTGCTGCTCTCACTTAACTTTATATGAGCCTGACTGGGCATGAATGTATGGGCTCAATATCTATCATGACACTTCTGTAAAGACCTTTTAGGTCTCTGGGGCTTATGTGGATTTTCTTCTACTTATACTGTCGTGGAAAGAAAAACAGCAAGTTTTGTGGGTGGTATCAGCAACTGGCCTTTGTAGCTGAAACACAGTTCTGAATTTCTGCATTCCTCTTCTTCAGATGATCTCCCCACCCTGCAAAGGGAAAATTCCCTGGTAGTATCAATCCATAAAAGAGATATTTTTTTCTGGTTTTCTTTTTTTTTCAATTTCAGTTTTATTGAAATGAAATTGACATACAGTTCATTTTTTAAATCTACAATCCATTAGCTTTTAGTATATGCACAAAGCCCTGCAGCTATCACTACCATCTAATTTTAGAACATCCTTATCATCCCCCAAAGAATCTCTGTTCCCCGTTTCCCTTCTGTGCCCAGTGCCTGGCAACAACTAATCTACTTTGTATCTATTTTGCTTATTTGCCCATTTCATATAAATGGAATCATGCAACGCGTGATTCTTTGTGTCTGACTTCTTTTTATATTGTTTTCAGGGTTCATTCATGTTGTAGCATGAATCAGAACTTCATTTCTTATTGCCAAATAATAATCCATTGTATGGAGATACCACACTTTATTCAGCCTTTTATCAACTGATGGACTTTTATATTTCTACTTATTGGCTGTTAGAAATAATGCTGCTATACTATTTGTGTACTTGGTTTCTGTGTGAGACCTATGTTTTCACTTTTCTTGAGTGCATACCTAAGCATGGAATTCCTGGGCTATGTGATCATTCTACATTTATCATTATCAAAATGTTTTTCACACTAATTGTAACATTTTACATTCTCATGAATGTGTGAGGATTCCAGTTTGTCTACTTCTTCATCAGCATTTTTCTGTTTTATTATTATTATTATAGCCATCATAGTGTGAAGTGGTGTCTCATTGTGGATTTGATTTGTGTTTCTTTAATGACTAATGAGGTTGAGAATCCTTTCATGTGCTTATTGGACATTTGTATATATTATTTGAATAAATATCTATTCACAGCTTTTGTCTTTTGTGTGTGTGTGTGTGTGTGTGTGTGTGTGTGTGTGTGTGGTATTGGGGATTAGACCCAGGGGTGCTCTGTCACTGAGATACATTTCCAGGCCTTTTTTTATTTTTATTTTGAGGTAGACTCTCACTAAGTTGTCCAGGCTGACCTCAAGTTTGTGATCCTCCTGCCTCTACCTCCTGAGTCACTGGGATTACAGGCATGCACCACTGTGCCTGGCCTTTGCCCACTTTTAATTAAGTTTTTAATCTTTCTCTCCCCACTTTTTTTTTTGGTACAGGGGATTGAACCCAGGGGCATTTAACCACTCAGACATATCCCCAGCCCTTTTTATTTTTTATTTTGAGGCAGAGTTTTGCAAAATTGCCTAGGGCCTCACTAAATTGCTGAAGCTGGCCTTGAACTTATGGTCTGTTTGGCTCAGCCTCTGGGATTACAGGCTTGCACCACTGCGCCCAGATAATCTTTTTCTATTTTGAGTTATGAGTTCTTTATATATTTTGGATACAACCCCCTTGTCAGATATATTATTTGCAGATATTTTCTCACATTCTGTGACTTGTCTTTTCACTTTCTTGATGGCTCTGCTTATAGAACAAAAGTTTTTAATTTTGATGTAATCCAGTTTATTTTCTCTTCTGCCTCTTATATTTTTGGTTTCATATCTAAGAAACCATTGCCAACTCCAAGTTCATGAACATTGGCTCCTATGTTTGCTTCTAAAAGTTTTAAGTTTTACACTGATGCTTGTATTCTGTTTTGAATTCATTTTGGGTGTGGTATGAGGATGGGATCCAACTTTATTCTTTTTGCCTGTGGATATCCAGTAGTCCTAGCACCATTTATTTAAAGGAGATATTTCATTTTATCTGCCTGTTTAATGAGTGTCCCTCAGCATGATAGCCTCTTGCTAGGTGAGGTGATTATATGATATCTAGTTGAGAGAGGCTAGGAGGCACTAGCACATTTCATAGTATAAACAGCAGGGATTTAGGAAGCTTAGGCTCTGAGGTCAGGGAATTTTATATAATGTCTTATTTTAGTTCCTAGACTAGTTTATTTTAGAGTGATAAGAAGTGACTTAATATTCACAATTAAAAAATATTTTTAGTTATAGATGGATACAATACCTTTTATTTGTTTATTTATATGTGGTGCTGAGGATCGAACCCAGGGCCTCACACGTGCGAGGCTAGTGCTCTACCACTGAGCCACAATCCCAGTCCCTCATAATTGTTTTTTTGTACTGGGATTGAACCTAGGGGCGCTTAACCGCTGAGCCACATCCCCAGCCCTTTTTATTTTGAGAATGGGTCTATCTGAGTTGCTTAGAACCTCACTAAATTCTTGAGACTGGCTTTGAACTTGTGATCCTCCTGTCTCAGCCTCCTGAGGCACTGGGATTATAGGCATGTGCCACCGCACCCAGCTCAATATTCATGATTTTTTAAGCCCTGAGGAAAGAGCAGATATATGATGGTCAGTTTATAGTCCTTTCTCAACCAGAGTTTTGGAGAGAATTAAGCCTTGATGCCCTTAGACATTCATTGTGTGTAGTAAGTTAACCTCTCTCTCATGCATCTAGAGTGGTAGTTGCTATGTATTGTCTTTGGAAAAATTGAGAAAAGACTCACAAATAATTTTCTTCAGGGCTTACTGCTATAATAGAACACTGATTGAGAATGCCAAAAAAAGTAAATCAGCTGCAAAGTGGTCATCAGCATTTTGAGAAATTAACATCAGAACTGAACCACTAGGATTAGACAGAGGGGAGTGAAGAGAGGGGAGGGGGGTATGGGGGCAGGAAGGATAATAGAATGAATTGGACTTTATTATTCTATGTGCATATATGATTACACAACTAGCATGATTCTACATCATGTACAACCAGAAGAGTTGGCACATCATACATAAATACATCTATTTATGTATGATGTGTCAAAATGCATTCTACTGTCATGTATATCTAATTAGAACCAATTTAAAAAACTGAACCAAATTTAGTTTTAAGTATTACCATTTGTCTATTCCATTTAGTGCAAAGGAACTAATAAAATTTTGTCTTCAAGTGAATTTCTGAGTCCAGGTTATAAATAATAAACTGATTTCAGACTGTATCTTCATTAATAAGGACAAAAGTAGATTTTTCTTAGAAACAATTTGGCTTGGTTGGTTTTAGCCTACATCTTATGTATCTGCTACAAGGGTGTGCTTTTGGAAAATAGAATTATTTGAGCAGTTTGGAGATAGAGGATATCCCATGTCTGTACCATGACTGAGCCTGCACCTGCCTTCATAGCCTCTGTTCTCTGTAACCCCAGGAGGTGTCCTGGACAACCCTGCGACATTCCTAGAAGCCAATGTGGTAGTGTTTGCTTGCCTGCATGATAATATTTTATGCATGAAGGGACATCTAGTTATCAGTGTGGTTGCAATTCTTTTTCCCTTCCCTCCTCATGCTTGGTGTTTATTGGGTTGTCTGTGAGATTTGCAATTGATATCCATGATAAAAATCTCCCATTTCCAAACAGATAAAGGCAATAAAAGTTTGGTTCTTAGAAACTGTAAGCAGAATTTCTTTAGGAGAAAGCAGGGTCCAGGATGAACATTAAGAAAAATTTTCTTATTCATATTCTTTTTTTAAAAATATTTTTTTAATTGTAGTTGGACACAATACCTTCATTTTATTATGTGGTGCTGAGGATAGAACCCAAGGCCTCACACATGCTAGATGAGTGCTCCACCGTTGAGCCACAACCCCAGCCCCCTTATTCATATTCTTTAAAATATCAGTTTGGATGCTTGAAGAGAAAAGAGATAATAGTGGCTCAAAGAACATGGAAGTTAATTGATCTTTCTTATGTAGAAGTCTGAGTTGGTGAGTGGTCCAGAATGGTAGAATAGCTCTGACCATGAATCCATGTACCTTTTGTTTTCCTGTTCTAGATTCCCTTGGGGATTTCCTTTATTCGTATGGTTGAAAGTAGTTCACCACCAACATGTTCACATTCTAGGCCATAGGAGGGGGGATAAAAAAGAAATTGAGAAAACCAGGCACACGTCACTTCTCTCTGAGCCATTGGCCCCAAATTTAGTTATATGGTCTCATTCACCTGCCATGGACACAGAAATTTAGCTTCTTGTTGGGTGACCATGTGTCCAGCTCAAACTGAAAGTGATATGTTACTTAAAACAAAAAGTCGTAAGAACAAGTTTTGAGAGATACTCTGGTACAAAATGGACAGTACCTCATG